CGAAACAAAATTCAAGTTTAATGATCCATACACACCGGACGCGATTCGACAACGCGACGCGATTTTTTAGTTTTTGTAAGTTAATAAAACAGTCAATGAGAGCAAACTTTGAAAGATATGTAGACCAAATAACTCAAAATGTTATAACGCTTCTAGTTCTAAATATTTGGAAAATTTAAACTAGAATCAAAGTTATCGGTCAGTGAAAATCGAAAAATCGCGTCGCGTTGTCGAATTTAATCGCGTCCGGTGTGTCTGGACCTTAATTTATCAACGTTTATTAGAACGATCAAATAATTAATGAGTTGAGGAAATACAATTACAAAACATCTGAGTTTGAAAGTTTGCTTTTCGATCTTTTAACTAGTTTAATTTTCGTTCTGTCTTCCTTACCTGCTAAACCCGACTCCGTCGCATTTGCCATTGCAATCGCTTCAGTCTCGTTTTTAAATCTGAAACAGAAATTTAACTAAATTACACTTTTTCTTATATTTGACAGCTCTATCAGTTCTTAACTCTGTTCTCCATAGAGGTCCTGCATGTAAAACCCAGCCATTAAGATAACTGGGAAACTCATCTGAGTGAGGTAATACTATGGTTTCGAGTGCAATTTGGAAAAAACATGCACGAGTGAGTTTTTCAAAGACTATCAAAATTGGTGTAATGTACTCAGGCTCAGTTGGCAGAGCATTGGGCTAGTATTCCAAAGGTCGTAGGTTCGATTCCCACCGTGGTCAGGCATATTTTTCAAACTATCAAAATTATTGAAGTCTTTGAAAAACTCACGGGTGTATGTTTTTCAAATTGCACGAGAAATTTTCCATATGAAGCATTGAAGGCTTTACCCCATCCCCAACACACCACATACAGAACCTGAACGGATATACAGTAACTTTCCATACCTCAAAAGTGGAGCTACGGGCCCGAACGTCTCTTCACGACTGACAGGCATCTCATTAGTAACGTCCGTAAGTACAGTGGGTTCAAAAAATGTGCCACCCAGTTCATCGAGTCTGTTTCCACCACAAATGACTCGGGCGCCCTGGTTTACAGAATCTTTAATATGTCGTTCAACTTTCAACACAGCCTTTTCATTAATGAGAGGGCCTTGACTTGATTTTGTATCCAAACCATTGCCAACTACCAATTCCTTCATTCCTAGTTTGAAAATAGACAAACTAATGAGCTAAAGTTTGCTAAACTAACTGTATTTATACAGGAAAGCTCTATCAGTTTTACAGTGAGGAACATTGTAGTCTGTGACCTTTAAAGTGGGTTCAAACAATACCTTCCACTAATTTTGCCGAGAATTGATCGTAAATTCCTTCTTGAATGAGGATTCTATTGGGCGAGATGCATGTCTAGAAAATTTTAAAACTTCAGTGTAGCATTCATAAGTTGGACAAAAATTGTAAAATACCATACACATTTTACTCACTTGTCCAGAATTCCTGAACTTGGCCGACAGAACTCCCTTAACCGCGGCGTCCACATCGGCGCTGTTGAATACAATGAAGGCGGCATTGCCACCCAGTTCAACCGAAACCTTCTTTACTGTATCTGCACATTTCCTCAATAATAACTGGAAGAAAAGGCGAGAGAATTAGTGAAATACATGCGTTGATTAAATAATGCACGTTGCATTAGCTTAAGCCCCGGTCAAAACCATTGCCGTCTACATTTCAAGCTCTGATTAAAAAAGATACCATAAAGGATCAAGGATTAAAAAAATTGATGGGTGTTCCAACTACGACAAGCTTTCGTTGGTAGGGATGCAACTGTCTGAAACATATAAGGAGAATTTCGACGTTTCGAGCGAAGGCCCTTCGTTGGGAAAGGCCATTCTCCTTATATTTTTCAGGCAGTTGCATCCCTACCAATGAAAGCTTGTTACTATTGGAACTACCCACACAACTACAGACAGTTCAAGTCAGACCAGCTCGTGGTCAATCTCAGACATGTTAACATTTAAAGTCAGTAATTACACGACGCAAAAATCCACAGGGCTTCGGATTTACCAATACGAACGGGTAACAGAAGGTATATGAAAATTACACAGTCAGGAATCGTCGCAAATTAGTACCGTGGCAAACTAACCTTCCCTACAATAGTTGATCCAGTGAATGAAAATTTTGTAACCAGATTACTTTCCATGACGACATCGGTGACTTCATCCACATTGTCACGTGAACAGGGCACAATGTTGAAAACACCCGCAGGAATGCCTGCTTCTTCTGCCACCTGCAGGAGACGATATGATGCTGTTATCACGTGGTAACGTGCCTCAGACAGACAGACAGACAGACAGACAGACAGACAGACAGACAGACAGACAGACAGACAGACAGACAGACAGACAGACAGACAGACAGACAGACAGACAGACAGACAGACAGACAAACAAACAAACAAACAAACAAATACACAACCTGAGCAAGTGCTAAGGCAGTCAATGGTGTATCTTCTGCAGGTTTACAGATCACAGTACATCCGGCTGCAAGAGCGGGAGCTGCTTTACGAGTCAACATGGCCAAGGGAAAGTTCCACTATAGATGTTGATAACAAAAACAAGAGTCAGAAAAAGGGTGTGGTCGTATAAACTAAATGATATAAAGCACCTTAATTCACTTTTAGCCAAAATGCCTGTTTCAGGCTGACTGCATGACAGAATAATTGTAACAGACCACAATTATAATAGAATCATACTGGTGTCCAAAGTGCTGCCACTCCAACAGGTTGTTTCATGACCACAACTTTTGAGTTTGCAGTCGGGGCTGGAATGAGGTCGCCATAAACTCTTCTTGCTTCTTCAGCAAACCATTCAATAAATGACGCTGCATAAGCCACCTCCGTTTTAGCTTCCACTATAGGCTTGCCCTGAAACAAACTTAAGATAAATTTTTGTTCAAAGCAAGGGTTTTTACTAGATCATGCCAGAGATGTGGGGAGGGAATGGGGGTGATCTGAGTCCCCCCCACTTTTCTTCAGGACCAATTTTGTAATTCTTTCAAAACTAAGAAGGGGGGGGGGGCAAGACCTCTTAACATTGTCCTCTATGACATAAATTATACCAAATCTGCAGCTCACAGATTGTCATACAACATGTCTAAAATGTATGAAATAGTATTTTTGCAAATTTCAAATTGAAAATTTTTCAAATAGTAATTAAAGTTAACCTGTTCCATTGTCATGATTTTTGCGATATCCTCCATTCTTTCCATGAGAAGCTCATTCCATTTTTTAAGATAACGGCTTCTTTCCTTTGAACAGACAATAATATTTACTGTCTTTTTGGTTCTTATATGATTAAGTAAAAAAAAAACATGTGTTATAATCTGATTATTGATTTTATATACTAAATTTTCATACAGCAAATGTCAGGGGCAAATATCTGCATTTATTCTGCTTGGCAGACAATTTTATTTCTCCTCCACTGCTAGTAGGGTATATTTCCTCAGCCCATTGGCTGTTATAGTAGGGTCGTTAGAAATTTATTTTAAGAAATTGGAATGGGTCTGGTTATTATTGGCCATGTTGCAGTGTTTCTAGTTCAGAAAACTTCCAGTGTTCAAGACTGCAGAGTTGGACAGTTTTTAATGAGATCTCATGGATGCAAAAGCTACAAATTTAGGACCAGGGGTGCAAAACAGTATCCAAGGGCACATTAACATTCATTTAAAAACCAAATAGCTGGTATCATGTAAAAGCACTGAAATTTTGAGATTTGGGGGCAAGTTTAATAGCGTCTTAAAATTGTTTATATGAAACACTCCCAAGGGTGCTAAAACTTCCCTCCGAGGAATGTTCAGGTTACTCTAACTCTGGAATCTTGACAGTATTTGATATGGGCAAAAGCCACAAAACCCAAAACACTTCACTCACATGTTGAGGCAAATTATTATAATCAGACGACTACTGCAGGATTGAACCAAACTCTAGTCACTGAAGTAAAAGACACACTATATATGCTACATCTGAAGAAATTGATTACAAAGTTACAAATTGGAAAGGGTGTGCCAGGGGGGTGGGGGGTACATTCCATTGTTTTGTAATAGCTTCATGCTTCATAAGAATTGTTTTTTCATGACATATATTGCATTAAAAAGTGTATACTTTGGCAATAATAACAAACAAATACCTTTGCAGTCCTCAGTTTCCAGCTTTGAAATGCTTGTGCAGCTTCCAACACCGCTTCTTTAACATCAGCTTGACCCGAGTTTGAAACATCGGCCAATTTCTCGCCGTTCGCAGGATTAAACACGGGAAATGTTGTATTACTCGCAGCAGATTTCCATTTCCCACCTATATAAGCGTTGTAGTTCTTTAAATACGGTATTTCTGCCCGCGCAAGACGAGAAATATTCGCTGTACTTGAAGACATTTTGTAATTCTCCAATTTTGAAATATGCGCACAGATCTAAGTTTTTATAGCCTTGTTTTGGGTAATCTGTGTCGCAAATCAACTCTGTCGCGGATTAATTAGAATCCGATTTGGCGGATTAAGATTTAATCGTACTTCTGCGGGCACAAATCATCAGTGGCACAAACACGAGAAGATTCCTAAGAAATTTTCGAATGTAAATTTTTATATACTTTTTAGACCTAATCACGAGCAGGAAAAATGCAACTTTAGGTCTTCTGATTCCAGTAACTTGCTATTAAAGCATTAACCTCAAATTCATGTATGTGTTTGCGTCATTGTGTATAATGGCGTAATAACACCTGATTGTATCTGAAAATTGCTAAAATTAGTGAAGATGCCTATGGCTATGGCGTGTGTTTTCAACATGGTTCTTAAAACATGTCCATAACTGATAAAAAGTAAACACCCTAAAGTGTTTTTCATACGTGCGTGTGAGCATGGACAAGTATAAATCCCAGACTGTTTGCGGAGGAAATTGATTTCCTGCGCAAAATATTTTGCAATCATAGTATGGAAACTGCGCAAACTATTGCAAATTTAACTTGCAAAAAAACTGCAAATAATTTCTGAAGAATCTGCAGAATTCTGCACAAAATGCTTTTGTGAACCAAGAACCAAGCAGATTCCTGATCACTCCCTATTTGACACTTTCTGGCTGCAAGATCCCTTGGGCCTTGGTCTGCTCGCAGCGTTGTTATTCTTTACGCCAAGCGACAAAAAAACTCGCTTGGCGTAAGAATAACATCTGCGAGCAGGCTGAAAATATCTGACACTTCTGCGCATTTTTCCCCCGAAGGAAAAATATTTCTTAATAATTCATCAGGAAAAGACAAAGGAAATCACTGCCGTGTCAGTGGCTTTATATGTGATAAAAAATCATGTCATTTACATAAACTAATAACTTTGATTTTCTCCTCTTGGACAACATTTATTTTTAAAACTCCTTCGCCAATGAACTCACATCAGATGGGTCGTTTTTAAGCCATTTAAAACCCTCGCAGTCCATGCATGCTTCATCAGATTAAAGCACTCGAGTTGGGCTCTCGTGTTTTATATCTGATAAAACACACCTGCTCGTGTTTTAAATAGTATTTAACTGTCATATAATTTGTACTTATATAGAATTTCGAAAGATTTAAACTTCTCGGTACGTGTTGTAAACGAACGTATGAAGTAAACCCGTAACAACTTCGGGACGGTTACAGCAATCGAAAAAACTTCAATGCCATTCTTCAGTAACATAAAACGAATGAAATAAAACCATTTAGAATTTCTAGTTTGTCAGGTTTTCCCCGGAGGTCGCGCAGAACCGTTGTGATTATAAAGAGTAGCCATGATCAAATCTAAAAACAGAGTCGTCAACTTGACGGGAGGAAAATGGAAGCAGTCAGGAGATTCAACTGCACAAACAAAAGTAACAATAAATTACTAATAATTTACAAGAAATCTACTTTATTTCTGTATTTTATCAAAATTAATCACAAGTTACAGTATGTACTACATAAATTGAACAACTACCAAGTAATACTCTTGGAAAAAGTGAAAAGAAATAAAATGGACAATCTTGCTAAAACCACTGAATGATATGCCAAATTTCAAATCTTTCCCTTCATAGCTAAAAACAAAAATAATTTCACATTTACTTTGACTGCATAAAAATTACTTTTATTATGAAACTGAAATTATCACTAGTTCATAACAGAGGCCCACCAAGGGTGTAACCTAGGTTGCACTCATTTTGTAGCCGCTTTGTTGCTTGTTTTATTGAAATAAATGTCACTGTCACTTTTGACCCATAACACAAATCACAATTTGTCACTTTTTCCCATAAGCTGTCCTTTGTGGCTCTTTTTTAGATAGTCTGTCACTTCTTTTTAATTAAGGAATGTTGCCTGTCTGTTATAACCCCTTGGTGAGCCTCATAACCGGAACCATTCCATTCTTAAAATAAATTTCTGAAAACCCTGGAACATACCTGCCATTGAATTCTTCTTATATTTAATATACATTCTTATTGTAGTGGTTGGGGTGGCGCCATGAGGTCTATATCGGAAAACGACCTAGCTCCGTACACTGCTAGTATGAATATTGATGTATGCTTGATAAATCTCCTGTAAACAGGAATTAAATAGTTTTCAATTAGGGTCTTGAGCCCAAAGAACATGAATGGGTGAAAGTTCTTAACAAAACCGCGGATGGTTCTTTTCGCTTGGGAAAACTTGTTATCTTTTCATGATCATGTTAAAACATTGTGAAAATGACATTGTGGGAATGATGACCTTTGGTCAGCAAGAAATTATGCTGAAATATAGCTAATAATAGTTTTGGTGATTTGGCAAAGGCCAAATTTATATTTACAGGGTGGGGGGAGCCATATAATTCAGAAATATGTCAACAAGTTTAACTCATTAAGTGGCAGCACACTCCCCTTGACGAGTTAAATCATCTGGCGTTAGACAGAGTAAAATAATAAAATAGGGTGCATCAGGGCGCATTGCCACTTACAGGGTTAATACCAGTCCACTAATATCTCGACTAATATACAGAGTACAACTTCATTCACTCACCATTTAGAAGGATTTCTATACAAATCTAAAACATGGTCTTTGATTCCCATAGGTTTGCCTTTTATGCTAGGTTTTCCTGATGACTTCTTCATATTTATATTAATAAAACCACCAGAACAATTAATATAACTTTCTTGTGCAAAACTCGTGGGAAATTTTTCGCAATCTTTTCGGTCTCAGTGTACAAATACTTCGTGTAACAATAATTTTATTTCCCATCACTCCAGTTTCACTCTCACAGAGCAGTACCGGAAGTGGTGACGTCACGGAAAATTTCTGTTCCTCATCACGAGATTCCTGCATTTTCAATCTACAGAGTTGCGTTGTCAAGATCTGTTGAAATTTTGGCATTTCTTCGCATTATTTTTCAGCGAAGCTGCTCTATAAAACTCTTACAAACATAACTACATTTAATTTTAACCTCCAAGCTTCCAAAGGTAAGAAAATCATGGCTAAAAACGGATGTTTTATTGGTTTATTTTAGACCGAAATTCACGCTGTTGGATAGGTCGATATTTCGTCCTGTTCGATGAAAATAGATTTGTCGCTTTCCTGTTCTCGTACGAGATTGTATTTAATGTTATCTTAGCTCGATGTTTTTTTGACAAATTTATGCCGATATTGTAGTTTAATATGTGTTATATTAGGGTGTTTCCCGATATAATTTTGAATTTCAAATACGAAAGTATGTCGATATATGCCCCATCAGGCGAAAAACATTACGCAACGATTTGCCAACGAAAAATCGTTGCAGTATATATAATATTTCAAGATATGATGCATGTAAATTGTTCTTAGTTACTGCGGTTTAAGCAAGCTATCCATGTTCTAGAACTCATTATGAATATTCAACAATGGTTGATATGCTTACGATATTCATGCAAAACAAAAATTGCCAGTTGATTTCTTGAAATTGCTTGTAGTATTTCCAAGAATTGTTTCGCATTCTGTCATGGAGCAGTACTTAAAAAAATCAAGGTGTCTGACCCATTTGTTGCCATAACTGAAATTCATCCAAATGGACCATTTTACATATGGGAATGTCATTTAGCGGATTAAAAAAACACAAGTAAATAGTCCCATTTACTTTTTGCCTAGTTCTGTTGCCATGACATGTAAAATTGTCTTGTTTTAAGTAAAACGACAAAGTTGGACACATTGGGGCATGTTGCATTTTAATCGGCTAATCAAATGTGTTTTTCCCGGTTCGTAGAGTGTAATATAAAATGTCATCAAGAAAGAAGGTTTTATTAAAAGTTATTATCCTTGGAGATAGCGGGTATGTTATTAATTTGGGTTTACCGACTACTGTTATTGACTGAACTGGTGGCCGATAAAATGTTTGGGAAGGATGTCATCCAAAACGTCTAGGTTTCATATTTATGTTATGTTAATTACAGTGTTGGCAAGACCTCGTTAATGAACCAATATGTGAATAAAAAGTTTAGCAACCAATACAAAGCTACGATCGGTGCAGATTTTCTTACGAAGGAGGTTATGGTTGACGACCGATTAGTAACAATGCAGGTATGTATCATCGATAAATGGGCCGGTTTTAGGCATGGTAGTATTGCACCGTTTAAATTTTTACAAAGGAAATTTGGGAGTTGAATTTTCTTATCTAGTTCACACACTGAAATGACAGGGTGATGCATGTGATTCGGAAACAATGTCCATCTTCTCACAATGACACAATCCAAATTTCGTCTAGATCTGGGATACGGCAGGTCAAGAACGATTTCAAAGTTTGGGAGTTGCTTTTTACCGAGGGGCCGATTGCTGCGTTCTTGTCTTTGACGTCACACAACCTGGTTCATTTAAGACACTTGATAGTTGGAGAGATGAATTCCTAATCCAAGCCAGTCCAAGAGATCCTGAAAATTTTCCATTTGTTGTTCTGGGAAACAAGGTTGATTTGGAAAACAGAGCGGTATGTTATATCATGCAAATTTTCTGGTCTTAACAAAACATGAACAAAAGCACAAATGTCAGTATCAGAGACTACCCTTACTTGAAGAGACATCTCTTACTGGGTCCGTAAGAAGAGCACTGTAGAACTGATAGAGCCACCCAGTGTAAATATAGATCATTTTAGCTTACTGGCTTTGTCTAGTGTCTAAAGCCCATTTTCCGCCAGGCTAATTTGTTTGTGCGAACAGTAAAAAAGTAGGAACTTGTTCGCGCGAACAAATTTGCCATGTGAAGCATTCCTCTTTTGACTTTCTAACTCATTTGAAATTTTCCTCATTAGCTTTGCAAATCCCTTGAGGGAATTTGCAGTGTTCTTATCGGCTGTTTCAATATTCCAATGCAAAAAAACACTTTCAAAAAATTATCTAAATTCTTTCAAAGAATTTCCTAAATTCCTGTTTTTAATTCCTGACTTCCTGTTCTGTTCTGAGTGTTGTCATTGGTTGATTATTTTTGTTGGCCAATTGCAACGTGCAGAACAGAACAGGAAGTTAGGAACTTGTAACTGGATGTTAAGAACTTCTAACAGGAATGAGGATTAATCATTGCAAGTTCCCTCAAGGAATTTGCAAGGGAGTTTTTTTTTTTAAATTGCAAAGGTAATGAGGAAAATTGCAATCAATTTAGAGACTTGAGAAACACTTGACATAGTTAAGTTTATCTAACACTACTGCTACAGTACATATTGTAAATAGTCTCATTATTGTAATTTGTGTTTTTCAGGTCTCTGCAAAGAGGGCACAAGGCTGGTGTCAGTCAAAGAACAACATACCATACTTTGAGACTAGTGCAAAAGAAGCCATCAATGTTGAACAAGCGTTCCAGACGATTGCTAAGAATGCGCTAGCACAGGAAACCGAGGTGGAATTATACAATGACTTTCCTGATCAAATCAAATTAGATAACAATACCAACAAACCAAAAGATGGTTGCGCCTGCTAAGCATCAGAACTTGAATTAAATGGTGTATTATCACAGAAAATCTCAGGGAAATTATTTATTCAAATCCCTATCCTTTAGAATAATACTGATTCGTGGACAAATTTCTCATGGTGTGGTGTAAACACTATGATAATATTCAGATTTTTTTATACAACTGGTCTTAGTAATTGACTGACTCTTATACCGACACGTCTTGCACAAGCTTTTTCTATTATAATCTATATTGTAATTATAGAGCAAAGAAAAATGTTTCCTACTTTCTTGCAATGTATACAAGACAATATGTACAAGAATAAGTGCATGGAAAGGTTTTTCTTTACAAACTTTGAATGCAAAATTAATAGTAGTTGACTTTAGATTAAGTCTATTTAGAAGTAGAAAAATCTGTGAACATTAATTTCAGAAATAAACACATTTCGTCAAAGCTATGTGCAGTTTGCATTGTGGTGATGTTCACAGGGCTCTTGTTTTAAAGAAACTTTTGCTGCAACTTGCAAATCAATTCTGACATAGAGCCATGTTATAGCTTTGTAGCAGTGATGTTTTCGTGGGGGAATGCCGTCCCCCCCCCACCTTTTTTACCAGGGGAACAGCATCCCCCTGCCAAAATCAACATGGGGGAATGTCGTTCCCCCTGGTAGAGATTGAATGCGAGTGAAGCATCCCACGTGGAAATACTTCAGAACGTAATTTTGTCACTATTTTAATCTCCCTCAAACTTGATATACTTGCAGAAAATTAGCAGACCAGCACAAAAATACTAACAAGCATGTCTATTTATAGACTAAACCCCCGCTTGTTTAATTTCATGACCATTGGCCACGCCCAATCACGTGACCACACCCATTTGATTTTCAATAGCGTCCCCCCACTTCTAAAATTAGCAAAACATCGCTGCTTTGTACTATTCAGTCATTTTTTGCAATCATTAACTTGTCCCGAGTTGTCCATTAGACATTGATTTGACCACCCAAATATGAACAGGCTACTTGTTTGCAAACTATGGCTTTGTCATTTATGCCTCTCTTCCGAGGAGCCTGTCAGTTGCTACCTACAGAGGTTTTTAAGGCGGTTTTCCACTAGGCGAAATTTTTCGACCGAATCGAAATTTCTCTTTGTTTCAGAGCTCTCGAGCAGAACTAATTGTAAAAAGACAAAGAGAAATTTCGTTTCGGTCGAAAAATTCCGCCTCGTGGAATCCGGCCTTTAAGGTCCATTTCCACTCAAGAAAATTTTCTGCGGAAAGAAAAATTTGAAAGATGTGATTGGCTGACACAAATGTTCCGTCGGAAAAAAAATTTGAAGTTGAAAATGATCAACTTTTGACAATGATATTTTCGGAAAATTTTCTGTCCGTGGAAAATTTTCTGCGCCGTGGAAAATTTTCTTGAGTGGTAATGGGAGGCAGCATGACAATATGGCGGCACAAGAACCTCTGGGACCAGGGTATACGGCAAGACATTTCCCTAGAGCACCTTGTTGATCAAAATAGGTCAGGACTATCACTTCATATAAAACAGCCCTAGATTAAGGAGATAAACTACCTGAAAAATATTCGCATTAACTTCAACGTTTTGAGCGAAGGGCCTTCGCTTGTAACGTTGAAGTTCTGCTTATTTTTTTCAGCCAGTTGCATCCCTCTCAGTGCGTAGCTGTCTTGTTATTGTCGTTCGGATAAAATACCATCACCTGCACACGTTCCATACTTGAGAGGAATCAAGCCCAGCCATTTCATTTCGTCTTTCAAGGACAGTCACCTGATGGTCCAATAAAGCTTGCATACTTAAAGGTTCCCATAACGTTTGTGAAAAAACCGGACTGGGCGTTTTACTCCCTTGCAAAATATCAACTGATTTCGTCTGTTTTAAATTCGAATCTTCCTTGTCGTCTTTGTTTAAACGTTTTGCAAACTGGCCTCGGCATGTTGCCCTCTTCTCTGTTAAGAAAACCAGTTTGGAACGGCTTTCATGAGGTTGTGCCTCAAGATGCTGTCCTTTGGATTTTGTTTTTACTGAACGTGTGCTGCCCATAGCTAGCGTGTTACTTGATGTTAAATTATTGTGAATATCTGGAAGTTTAACCAAGGGAAGTTTTTCTTCGTTCTCTTCCTAAAAAGTTAATTAAACGCATTAAAGCATGAAAGTTGTAATCACATAGAAATCAAGACAATAAAACAACTGCCACTGTAGCTGGTCTGAGCGCTACACTGACCAGAATGACCGAAGGGCCTATATAGTTTATTTTTCGTAACTGCTAAGTAGGTGTAATTATAACTCTTCAACATTCTAGAATACATACATGTGTTATCTCAGGGTAATATCTTCTTATTCCATCCTCATCCTTCTCTTCCGAGTAATGTGGCTGTCCAATAACTTGAAATAATAATTTTGTTTTATCTTGATTGATATGTGCTATACGATACATGAGCTCTTGACGATGTCTTCGATACTTGACGTCTTTTAGAATATCACTTTCTTCAGGATTAACATTTACAGGAGTCTGAAATTTAAACGGAAAAATAATATTCCTCAGGATGGAACATGCTCTAGCCATTGCAAAATCAAGCAAAGTAGTGGTATGGATATTTTCAGTCCTAGACATGCAAGAATCGATCAGAAAAACAATGAATCTTGCAACAGATGGAGGTCAACCAGCAGTTATCAAGAGTGGGAAAATAATGTTAATTCTTCTTGTTGTATGTTGTAGTCATATCTTTGGTGGCAAATACACAGAATACAGAAATATTGCAGCCAACACTTCCAACTAAGGTACGTTGGCCACAATCTGCTGCACATACTGACAAAAACATTCCATTCACCTCTTCTTCACTAACAAAGTTTCTCTTTATGGGCGTGATATGACGTCGTAGACATTCTCTTACAAAACACGCGTATGCATTCTGAAACATTGAGAAAAACAAGTTATTGAATATGTATGTTTCATTCTCAATTAAATGAAGAGCAAGACAGAAAAAGGGACGAATGTTTATTGTACCTTAACATCAGGCAAAATTAACGCATCTTTGTTTACCAATTTTTGCCTGGAGTAAGCCCTCAATGCTTCCCACAATGCTGCAGCGCCATGTTGACCTTCTAAAAAGGGAATAATATAAAGAAAAGTATGTTAAGTATCATAATAATTATCTTTAATTCATTAACATATTTAGCAAAGCTTTGTTGTGTAAGAGGGGATCTTCACCACTGCAAAACAGTAACATAACAGTAAATGATAACATAACAGTAAATGATTTATTCAATGAAAAAGACAATAACATAGTAGGTAAAAACTAGTAAAATTACGACTAGATTAAGAAGAAAGAAAACAAAATATACAGTATTAAAACAGTAACTGGCTTACTTTTCCTTGCTACAGCAAGATCAAAAACTCTCCTCGGACTTTCCTTGACAGTGGGATTCAAATACCCATCAGCCTCGTCACCAAACAATCTTTCAAGCTGGATCTGTAATGGCTGATAACGTAATTCATGGAAATCTGCATCTTGCATTATTGATTTTTCTAAGAATTCTGATAGGTCCTCTTCGGAGAAAGTGTCCAGCTTTTGTGAAGCTTCGGACTTCTTTTCTTCGTCGCAAGTTTTTTCGGGGACTTGTTCATTTTGGGCCTCTGGGATAACTGGTTTATGCTTTCTAGGTTTGTTGTTGTTTGTCGGCTTTGAAAGTTGTTTTTGTTGCACTGATAAAAATATTCATGGCAATATGTTAAATGATTGAACTAGTTACGAAGTCCACAATATATTTTGCAGGACTTGGGACATTTTTGACAATGACAAACGTACATGACATAAGTATTTCTAATTCTACCTTTTTGTGGTAGTTCTCCAAGCTTTTGTTTTCGAGTTCTTGCTTGAGAATTTTGCTTTTCCTTTTCCTGTTAATTATAAGAATGTTACAGAAATGTTAGCAGCTAGCAATAAAGCCCATCATTAAATTTCTAAAATCAGAGTGCTGTTTTCAAGTGCCTTTGTTTCATACTAACTGTTTTTTGCTGTTCATGTTTTTCTTGAATTAGTTCATCCTGTTTTTTAATCATCTGATGTTGCAAGTTCACTCGATCTTTTAACATCCTCTGTTTCCTTTTACGTTCATTTTCTTTTACAATGTTCCACATTTTGAACGTATGGAGAGCTTTCTAAAATTTCAACAGAAGCAGATTTCACAATAATTATAAATTTTTCTATTAAAGTGTCATGTACAGTAGGAATGTTCGGTATGAGAATTTCCTGGTATCGGTATACCGGAAAAGTTATACCGATATTATCAGTATACCAGTTATTTGCTTTTTAAATTAGATAGGAAAATTCCTTAGTGGAAATTTGAAGGAAATTTTGATTTTGAATAATTTCAAAAGTAGAAACACCATTTATGATAATTTCAAAGAGCTCTGTTGACATTGTTTTTAACACGAAATGTCTACTTCTTTTACTTTACATTTGAGTAAAACAAAAATTTGATATTGGTTTCAATGCCAATATTTTCGGTATATCAGTATACCGAACATTCCTAATGTACAGAGTTTGAAACCCATTAACAGGTCAGCGTTCTCCCATTGATGAGTAAAATCGTCTGGCATTAGACAGAGTAAAATAATCTGGTGTTAGAGTAAAATAATAAAGTACTAGGGCGCATCAGGGTGCAATGCGACTCAATGGCTCAACTAGACACATATAGGCAGATAGGCCAGTTAACCCATTAAGCACCAGCACTCTCCCCTTCACAAGTAAAATTGTCTGGCATTAGAAAGAGTAAAAAAATAAAATTAGTTTAGCACACAGGCTTTTAGCCAGACAGCCTACAACAATCTCAACCGACCTCCTCTTTTTCTTTCGATGCTTTCTCCTCAGCCTCCGCATGACGCTTGTGAGCCATTGTTCTGATGTGCTTCGGTTTCTTCTCTACTTCATTAGAACCATTCTTAACTTGTTCTAATTGCTCACTAACTGGACCTGCTTCATCAGACCTGCGATTGATTAGTGGAAAAAATAGGTATAAATTAAGGTAAAAAAGTTAAAAATTGAATATATGTTTGCTACGAAAGATTTTATGCTCTTCGAAAGCAGTAAATACATCGATTTGAAATGCAGTTTATAATATATAAATCAGTCCTACCATGAACGGTCCAGAACAAAATTTATACCAATTTCAGACAATACGTTAGTTTGTACTTAATTTATTGTATATCTATATTTCACAGCATAGTTACGCATTTTCTAACCATTAACAATATAATATTTGTTTTATGAAACCCAAAATACATACAAGATTAAAGGATTAAAAATTTAAAATAAAAAATCGCATTTATAATCGTTATTTTTTTGCCCTTACCTTGCTAAAGCTACCGTTTGTTTTTCTTCATATTCATGTAGATAGTTGCCCAATAATGGAGGAAGTGTAGACGAGTTCATTTTATTCGAAAAACGGGGGTTTATATACTTTTATAGGTTTAATTATCAAAATTGAAAATTCTTCAAAAATCCGCCATATTGGATTTGTATTCGACTGTTGTTATGGTAACCAAACAGCAGGTTGTATTAATCGATACAACCCTGTTGCTATGGCAATATTAATATCAGGGGTCTTGTGCGAGAGTTCAAGCAGTTAACCAATCAAAATTGTGTATTTTAGAGTGAGTAAAAAATGCTCAAATTTGCCAGGAAAAAAATTTTGACATTCCCTTCTAAATTATGTGTATAACTGTGTATACAGGTTAATTTCAAAATGAAATAAATGCCAAACGTATGAAGGAAGTTATAAGGTATCTTATACTTGAGATGGACGATCTGACCTATCTGTCGTGAAAGGCAGAGATCGTTCTTCCGAGGTATGCTTTTCAGATGGTAAGATTATATGATCCTATAGTAAAAGAAAAGTATCAGAAAAGTATCCAGAAAAGCTGTGTTCATTTATTCTGATAGGTGAAAATTCCAGTTTTTACGTGGAGATTTAACTTTCAGGTTGAACGGTTGAGTTGCCATAAGTAATTTTTCCCAGGCGAAAAACTTTGTTTCATGTGAGAAGTTGCTTGCAAAATACGCGATGTCTCAGTCATTACAAGAATATGCTTTCAGCATCTCAGTATTTTCTGATGTAAGGTTTGATTTCCCAGGCGAAAAACTTTGTTTCATGTGAGAAGTTGCTTGCAAAATACGCGACGTCTCAGTCATTACAAGAATATGCTATCAGCCTCTCAGTATTTTCTGATGTAAGGTTTGATTTCCCAGGCGAAAAACTTTGTTTCATGTGAGAAGTTGCTTGCAAAATACGCGAAGTCTCAGTCATTACAAGAATATGCTTTCAGCATCTCAGTATTTTCTGATGTAAGGTTTGATTTCCCAGGCGAAAAACTTTGTTTCATGTGAGAAGTTGCTTGCAAAATACGCGATGTCTCAGTCATTATAAGAATATGCTTTCAGCCTCTCAGTATTTTCGGATGTAAGGTTTGATGTCATCAGGTGGCACTAAAGATTTCTCAAGAGGTGTCTCTGTATAAAACAGCTTACCAATTGCAGCGCGGGCACCTGAACGCAGTCGAGTGTTCCTGGCTGGTATGGGCAGTTCTGAATGATGTGCTGGTAGAGGTTCTTTGAAAAAATACGGATGAAGTAACGCCTGAAACAAAAGTTCAAACTTGTTAAATAAATTAGTAAATGAAAAGTTTCATTCACTTTCATACCAAAACTACGAGATTTCTGCTTACTTCGGCTGCAGCTATTCTTGATTTGGAAGGATAAACCAAAAATTTCTTTAACAGCTCTACAGCCTGTAATATACAAACAGCAAAAAAATATTGAAAGACGGTTCTCAGTTTTGGTTGCGTATAGTCTATAGAATATAGCTGGACTTACCTCCGAGGTAGCATCCGGTACAAGCTTCTCCAAAGGTATTGGAGGCATTTCAGGAAAGGTTATTTTATTATAATCTGGAAGTGTTGTCATCCCCTAAAAATATTAGGGGTGTTGATTGGTGACCATTTTTTTGAGGAGATTTTTTTGTATGTTACGTACCACGCGCTCAAAACTAATGCGTATAATATATCACTCGAGGTTATGACTAAATTCAAAATTTTTATTTTTCGATACGTTTCTCAATCGGCAAACAAACTTAAAAAGTATGTTTAGTGCTTTATCTGTAAAATAATGCTAAAATGAAGAGATTTTAGATGATACGCCAAAGAGAAAATGATGTCTGAAGTTCAGTAAGTTTTGCCTATACGACTGTAAATATGGCGTCAATTTTAAGCATCATTGATAATTGTATTTTAATTGACAATTTTTAACTATTATTTTATGTTTCTCAACCGGCAGATGCATTTAAAAAGGTAGCTAACTCTATAAACTAGAGAATAAAGGTAAAACAAAGTAATTTTGAGAGGAACGCAAAAAAGATTTTAGGTTTTGAACACTTTTCATTGCAAATACGTGACATTGAAAAAAATTGCCTCTTAAGACTTAACAACTTTACTATTGTTCAAAAACCTATTAGCTTAACCTTGAGTTAACAAAATCTTCAAAGCGATCTTCCCAACAGCTTGGGTATAAACATGGAAATATTTTTCTAGATTAACAGAGGTTTTATTTTCTAAAGTTTTAAAATGAAAAGACATGCAGAAATACAGAAACCAAAAACTGCAGGTAAGGTTAAATTTTAACTCAGGTTTAGGCGCGAATACAGCTTTGAATAACCGGCCTCAGGATAAAATGTACATACAGGCCAGCTTGCTTCGTCTGGTGTTCCCAACACACGCAAAACACAACACAATTGTTCAATGTCATTTTCACCCTGAAACAGATACCAGAAATGTGTAAGGAGCTGGAAAAAGTTTGGAAATTATATCAAAACTGATATAGAAGAAAATCACACTCACAGGAAACAATGGCGAATTGTTCAAAAGTTCCCCAAATATGCATCCAACTGCCCTGAAAAACAAACCCAAATTACACAACAAAAGGCAACATGTCTGAATATACTATCTCAAATTCATTAATAATTCATGAGTAATTATACCAATAGCATGTAAGCATTCCGTCACAAGATGCTGTTTAGATATCGCGGTCAAACACCGTGAGACACAGCACCACAAGAGTTTTATAGCTGCATACGTAATATTTGATGAAAGTCACTAGTGTTTTCATCAAATATCTTATTACGCATACAAAATTACTTGAATAGAATTCCTAATTACGTTATGCTTGGTTAAGAATTCTATTCAAATCAGCAAACGAAAACATTCTGTTACGTCTCGATTAATTTAAGAAGCCATATAAACAAACTCGAGCTCGTGTCTCACCGGGATATCCAAACACTCGAAAACAATGTATGAAAACACTCGCGCTTCTCGCTCGTGTTTTCATACATTGTTTTTTCGTGTTTGGATATCCCGGTGAAACACTTGCTCTCGTTGTTCATATATACTATCAAGAAATGCTCATAACAGAAAACATAACAGAATTCCACACACCATAAGTCGACGCCTTCGTCATATTTTCTTGCACCATATAGCAATTCTGGTGCGCGGTACCATCTAAAGAATAAAATTCAAAGCAGTTGAGTTTGGAAACGCAAATGCCGAGATCTCTGGAATGGTGTCAACAAAGGGTCAGTAAACTCAATATCTTTCACACAAATATATCTAACGGTAAAATAGGTGTGATAAAAAAGGTGTGATAAAAATAAACTTCTATCAGTTCCAAACGCTCTCGTTAGTGTTTTTTGTTAATTTCAACCCCCAGTCATAGAAGTCAAATATGCGTCACCTTGCTACCTCCCCCCTTTCAATCTAGCCCCTCCCCCTTCCAACAATCTCCACTCGCAAATCCAGGATCTCACCCCTTGCACCATTTTGCATCCACTTCATTTTACGTTCGCTCTGCCATCTTGAATCTAAATCTCCCTAATGCTAAAAGAACGAGGCCATTTAGATATGCACTACCTTGTGGCCACTTGATGACTGTACAGACGATCTTGATCTGTTGAAAAAACTCGAGCAAGACCAAAATCAGCAATTTTCAAATGACCAGTGGAACTGATTAGAAGATTCGCAGGTTTCAAATCCTAAATACAAATAAATTTTGTGCAATCCAATTCTACGTTAATTTCAATAAGTATACACCATGCAAATTCATTTTAAACGCACCCTGTGAACTATGGAGTTGTCATGACAATATGCCACGCCTTTAAGGAGCATTCCCATGTAACTCTTGATCTGTGCCTAAGAGAACATGCCAAATATTAAGAATTAATTTGTTTATGATCCCAATACTGCAAAGTTCACACAGAGTGCACACTTTACTGGTGCCCAGTCTACCCTCATCTGATGAGAGAATATCTGCACAATTAAGTAGGCGCAATTTTTTTAGCGGGAGGGGGCAGGTAGGTTGATTGCTTTTCCAGGAAAAAGGGAGGTGGGTATTACTAGAGAGGAAGGTATTGCAATTTGCAGAGGTGGGTTGGAGATTGCAAAAGAGGTTGGAGATTGCAAAAGAGGGTGGATAGAGTTTTCAAGAGAGAGTGTGGTGAAGATTGCAAGAGGTGGGATGTTGCAAAAAGACCCTGGGTACGAGGATGGGGATGTTGAAGATTTCAAAGGTAGGTGGGAATTGCAAGAGGGACTGGAGTTTGGGTGGAAGATTTTAAAAGGAAGGGGTAAGGACTGTGAGAGGAGGAGGGGGGTGCATGGTGAAGATTTCAAGAGAAATGGGAACTTGAGATTTCAAGACAGGGACTGGGGAACGAGGCTGGAAATTTCATGATGGGGCAGGGTGGGGATTAGAGTGGGAAGGGGCAGGGAATTTTAAGAGGAATCTCTTTGTGGCCTTGTTATACACACAACAGTCTGTCAATTGGAAATGGTACTTTAGCTATCATGCAGATTACGGTCATAGACAGGATTTTTACCTCAGTAAGAGGACAATCTGAATTCCTAAGGACTTCAGACAGATCAGACAACATGTATTCAAAGACAAGGACAAACCCAGCACCATCCGGGAATACATCAATAAGCTGAACAACCTAGTATGAAACAAAATGGCAATGTAAAAAAACACTTTTTTTATTCAGGACATTGTGTAAAATGCTTTGGCTCAAACATCTGCAACTCACAAATTGATTTTCAATTTCCTGGAGAGCTTTTATTTCCCTAAACAAAAGAGGAAACAGGTAATACTATTCAGTTATTGGTACTTTAACCAGCACCGCTGTTCTCCCTTTCAAGGGTAAAAACATCTGGCTAATTTGGACAAAGTAAAATAATAAAGTAGGGCACATCAGGGCACAATACAACTTAATGGGTTAATGTTCAACCTAACCTAAACCCATCCTTTTATGATGGTGACTTACACTGTTTAACACTGGTTAATATTGCCCATCAAAGTGAGGCAGTTTGGGGATTAATAATTGAAGGTCTGTATGGGTTTTCTAGCAAGGGTCAAAATTTTAGGGATTCATATCACTATGGAAGGCTCAGGAAGCACGACTGTGCATGGAATGATGCCAGGATTTGAAGGCAAATTAGTCAGGCCTTTCCGGAACTCTCTACAGGCCCTTCATAACTGGCCATGAGATTCAGCCAAATGACTGAATTTAGATCAGCTGAGATGCACAGCCTGCCTATACTATGTCTATGAACAACCTCGTTCCCAGGGCATTCCCTATGAAAACCCAAATTAATTATTGCCCTTTAATGATAGTTTTCTACCTTAATGCTTGGTTTGGAATGCCATCCTCTAGTTTTCTTAGTGGAACTTTTTTTATTGCCACTACTTCTCCACTCTAAAAATGGCATTTGTTACTTCAAATTTCAATCATTCAATGTCTTTCAAAAAGTTAACATTAATTTCGATACCAACAAGCTACCTGAATATGTTTTGCCTTAAAAACAATGCCATGAGCACCTTCCCCAATGCGGCCAAGTATTTTATACTGTTCCATTTCAGTTGGAAATAAAATATTTAAATTTATGACGTTTTGTTGAATTTTTCTCACTCTGCTTGACCGCCATTTTGGTTGCTAAAACAACACAAACATAAGGTCAAGCTTCGGAATGACCAAATCTGATTGGCTAATAAGCGGAATACTCGAATCTGATTGGCTGAAGTCAATAATAAGATGCGAAGGCTTCGCTTTGTCTGTTCTTTCTTTCCGAGGAGTGTGTTGTCGATGTTGTGTCGTCTTGTTGATGTTTGTGCATTTGTTTCGTTGCTGTTTTTTTCATTTTGTTGTCTTCCTAACGCCATTTATTCTCTGGATGACTTTAGCAATCATGAGGAACATATGCAGCGAAGAATACAGCAAATATTTGACGTATTCGATGTGCTTTAAAGTTTTCAATCTGAATTGCTGCTTCAGAGAATAAAGGCGTCGTTGCTTGGCTTTTCGATATTTGTTTCTTTATGTATTTGTCTTGTTTCCCATCTGTACTGTAGTTTGTGTTGTGTTCTTGTAGTTGTGTGGTTTATTGGATATTTAGGTCATGTGTGTTTGTAAATATGTTCTTGTTGTGAAGTGTGACGGTGTCTGTGTCACTAGGTTTTTCGCTGATGATGTGAAAAAGGCGAATATGATCCCACTGTGAAATCACTTACACTTGAACTGAAGCGAAAAGCTGTGACAATTAACCATCTTATCTTCCAATATTTAAGTTGAGTTTCCTGAGCTTGTGTTGTGGGGGTAAAATTTGATGGCCAGGGCCTCTGTGTTATGAGTTAACCACCCCATACTATAAATTGCATCTTCATCACACCATCTTTGAGATTGGTGTATGCATCTGTTAGAGCCTTGATATGGGACCTCGGGTAAAACTGATGGTGAAGATTATTCAATTGATGAAAACTATGTTAACACCATTACAAGACAAATATAATCCATTTTACTCCGTATATTACTTAAGTGCCTTTTCTGCTATTTACAACAGTAATTTTTGAGATATATTTGAGGAAATAGATGATATTTGCACATACATTTTGCCCATTTTAAGCCTGTTTTCCACTTCAACCATATCGAAACAAACATTCTCTTTTGTGTCAAATATGAAGTTTAATTCAAATTAAATTGGTGCTTCCACATGGTCGGGATGGAAAACAGGCATTACATACCAGAATTCAGTATAGTACAAACGTGTTCTTTGAATGTTATGACTTGCAAACTGTTGAAGTTATTTTAGAGATTTTTTGTGAAAAATGATTTATCATAATTCCCTAACCTTTGTATCATATCCAGATGATACATTGCTATGGGCTTATGGATCTGTTACAGAACCTAATATTACCAACTAATATATTACTAAGATAGTTTATCATTATTCTATACAGTAACTAAATTTTCGTCGGATGTGCAGTACCATCATGTGGTTTGGGCGCAGTCATTGCAGACTTGCCGTACAGATAGACGGCTGAAATAACTAAGCCTGCCCCCAATATGAACTGTAAATTCAGCTGGAAACTGAAGAAGAATACAGAGACAAAACATGAAATAATGATAGCAAGGGATGTGGCAAATCCCTTCAAAATATTGTCTGCATATTTGACCACCACTGCGACCAGTAATCCACCAAATGCCTGGTTAAACACAACTAACCAGACTAAACCTGTATAACCGGTAAAAAACCCGCTTTCCTGGATCTTCTCTCCATCTTTAATCCACATTCCCACCAGACCAATGGCAATACCATACATGCCTAGTTGAACATTTCTTAACCATACTGAAGCCTTGCTGCCTTTTAAAATTTTCTCAAAATATACACCTGAATTAAAAATAAGGTAACACTATTTATATTGCAACATTTTGTCTTTGACAAGTGAAATTCTTTGGCAATAGAAGAAGTAAAATAACAAAGTGTGAAGCAGCCTTTATCCATCAAGTGCCAGCTTTCTCACTTGACGAGTAAAATTGTCTGGAGTTAGACAGAGTAAAATAATAAAGTAGGTACATTAGGGCACATCGCCACATAACAGGCTGATTAATAGGAGACATGGGCAAATAGTGTAGACATAAAAGCCCACCACTTTGTCAACGGCACGAGTAAAACTGGCATAATTAAACATTAAAATACCTAACCAGTAAGTATCAGGGTCCATTGCAATATGAGTCAGTGATTAAAATTGAAACCCTAACCTGCAAATCCTGAACAAAGCGTTGAAGCAATAACAGCCAGAAATCCGATCATTGGATATTGTTTTCGTGTGGGACCTGGTGTGGGTGTGTCTGAGGATTTTGCATGTACTTTACCATGTTGCAACTGTACAATACCAACGCCAATGAACAACATGACTAAAGCAAACCACTGGCCTCGCTGAAGTGTCTTTTTCAACATCACAACAGAAAATAGCGCTGTTGTGAGGATCTTTAATTGGTAGGTAACCTAAGGGCATGACAAATGTATGTTACAATGTTTACTGCAGTGTTCCAAATGGAACTTGGAGTAGGATGTGTTTTGAAAGAAGTCTAGGTACTATAGGTTCAAGGGGCATCTCTCCATAAAGATTTTGAAATTTAGACCATCTGAAATGGCATTACCAGCCATTTTTATGGAGAGCCGTTTTGTAGATTTTATCATATCCAAATATTTAGCAAAGAATATTGTTTAAAATTAAAATTTATGTTGTTAAACCAAGAAACTTTTCCCTTGATAGTTCTTTAGTATAAGAAGGAAATATTTTGGTTTATAATCTGAAGAAATAGCCACAAATTGTCTACACTATAGACAGTGTGCCAATTCCTATTGTAAACCTAATAAACCTATTACTGAAAACAGTGGCGTAACGTTATATCAGGGGGCCCCTGGTTCAAAATTTTCAAAGGCCCCCTAGTAGAAGTGCCAAATCCACAAGTCGAGCGCCGTATATGCACGAGTTTTCTAGGGGGTCCAGGGCATGCTCACCTGGAAAATTTTTGAATCTAGAATCTCTCTGAAATGCCATTTCCTGGACTTTGGGAGAGATTTTACAGAATTCTAATGGTCAGAAAACAAAATTGTAACATATCAGAGGCCCTGGCCAATGTTTTTGCTCTATCACCTAAGCCTGGGGGCCCCATTGGGGTTGGGGGCCCCCGGGTTCTCCTGGTCTGAGCCCATAGTACTTACGCCACTGACTGAAAATCATATTTGGGGTACAGACGGTACTTTAAAATTTTTCTATGATGTAATATTAAGCTTACCTGAAAGGTGGCGGCATCAAGGTTTGAGATAGCTACATACTGTAGATTATTCTGAACAGTATATATTAAAGCTGGAATACTTAGTTTTAGCGTATCGATAGGATTTCCAATAATGGACTGATGCAAAAATGATACCCAGTTCACAACATTCCCTTTATGCTCGGCAAGAATAATTAGCAATGACGCAACTAACTTAAACGTCTCTGCCATAACGACGGCTGTCGTTGCAAAGTAAAGTGGTCCTGCGATTGTCCGTGAATATCGAATCGTTAGGATGAGCGAAGCATTCTGAAGTGTAAGGATTATCAAACTCATTGACTTCATATTGAAGATTCCATTTGAACCTAAAAATGGATAATGGTTAATTCGGTATTTTCTCAAATGTGGGGTTCATGTAGGGATTAATTCAGCCAGATCAAGTCGGGGGGGGGGGGGAAATCTCATGCCACCTGGTTGTGTACAGTGTGCATATTTTGCCTCATATGTGTGCTTATAGTATTCTGTTCACAGTTAATAAAGTGGTCAATGGCAGTTGGCTTAGTCTTGGCAGTTGATATGTCAATCTGTCAAATTCTGTCCAGACAGACCATATTTCCTCTAGTAAAAATCAGGGCAATATTAAACCTGTTTTAAATATTAATTTGTCCTGTCAACCTTTCTGGGTGGTGGCGTGTGACGTGTGTTAATGGTTACAATATGTCAAACGTAGAAAAATATACAAACAAGTGAACAACCTCTAAAATGCCTATAAAGTACAACCTTAAATTTTTAGCTTTGTCAGAATTTGCTACCATAACCAATTAAAAAATTATATTTATTACATGTCACATTAATTGACAACATTTTGTAAACATTCCTCAAATAGATTTGCATTCCTTGGCAACGTGTACAAGACATCTTTCTTTCAGACAAGGGACACTTTGTTTTACTATTATTAAATTAATGTACAATATATTTTTTGACATTTCATGGCTCCATTATGGTTCTTGGTGCCTAACACGGTTATTCTAAACTTATTCTAAATGATCCATTACGCTGACTTCCAAATGAAAAGCAACAGTATGTGTTACAATTTTGACATTTTGAAATGCTTGGGGTGCCCAAAGTTCATCTCAAATTTCAAATATTTTTCTTTGTCTAGACTTTAAAATTACTAAAATTACATACCCGAACGATTGTTGTTACTTGGATCAAGATTGTGCCTTTTATTCTCCATTTTGAGCGAGCCTTCCGGCGAAATCTCGTTGGATATGGTTGAAAAATGCTTTTGTCTTAGGACTAAATTAGTATGCATTTGCCTTGTTGGCAATGCCATGGTTGCATCCGCTGGACGAAATTGAGCAATATCTGAGTCCGCAAACAAAGCTGTATACAAAAACTGTTTTTGTTTGTAAACAAATATTGAAATACTACATGTACAGTAATAAATATACAAATAGCACAGGTGGATATTTGTTTCAAAACCGTTGGTTATGTTATTCGTTTTAACAGTTTGAAATTTTGCAAAGGGAAGGGGGGCGTGCATTTTAATATTATATGTCTATATTGCCAAATTATATTAGAGTAAATTACTCAATTGGCATTCCCGCTGTGACACGCGTGTACGTGGCTCACACGCGAAAAGCACGTGTATATCTGAATCCAAGATGGCGTATTAAAAACACGTGTTTTGAAAAAATACGCCAACTTCTTTGCAATGGACGGGATAACTAGCTCGTATTCAAAGCTTCGAAACAGCGACATTCCCTTAGAAGAACGCATCGAACTTTCCCGCCAAATTTTCAACAACAGTGAATGCATTTTACCGAATAAAAATCAACTTTTAGTCGATTGGTCATGCCAAGAGTTGGGGACGCGTGGAAAAAAACGCGATGGTTTTAAAGTGGACGAACATGAAACAGAACTTTGGAAAATACTTAGTGAAGTCTTAAATGATCCAGAGAGCGAGCAAATTGTTTTGCGTCAAAAAAATTTACAGCTTTTATTCAGAGAACTGGATGAAGTTAGAAACTTTCTCGGAAAGTACTTTTCTGAAAATGGAGGCCCAAACAAGATGAGCCAAGATAGACTGTTGAGCGTCTTCTTGTGTTTTCAAGCCATATCAAAGAATCCCAATATGTCTATGACATTATTTAACAAGTTGGAAAATTTGGAACAATATTTGAAAGGGATTTTGACTTGTTTTTTGGTAGTACTGTTACAGACTGATTTGCATACTGCCAAATTTGTTAAAGTGCTATCTCACGTTGTTGTTATTGTGTTACATCAGTATAATACCGCCCAGCATCAACAGTTTGCCCAACGTAAAATCTTCACAAACCTTTGCGAGAAATTACTACCACTTTTATTATTAGTGAGAACTGTTGTAAAAGATGAAAAACTTTTTCATCCTCAAGATTTCAACAGAGATGAGATTTGTTCTGTAATTGATGCTGCGGTCATAACTGCGCTATTCCACAAGGATCTTGCGTCCAATTATATTCCCACTGCCATCCCTCGACAACAATCTGAACCAAGCCCAAAAAAGGCAAAACTTGTGAATTCCTATAACCAGTTGTTTGATGTCTTAGAAAGTTTTGCAAAGGGTTGTCAAGATGGGACTGATGTGGAAGGTATTCCTGTCAGATCAGACTTGGTATGCCAAGCTATTTCCACAAGTTTACCTTTCCTGCTGGAGAATTTCCTAAAAGCCATTCAACAAGACAGAAAGCTGGATCAAGCGACCAAGTTTAGCTTTTTTATTGAGCTTTACAATGTAACAACACCAAAGGGTTCAGCGGATGGACTAATACCAGATGTAACCAGAACTGAAATTTTGAGTAAGATGCTGAATGTTATTGTGGATTTTGATGTCTACCAGATCGCTGAGGACAATGCAAATGATAAACCAATATTTAAATGGTTTTTAAGTTTGTTGGAGAATGGGCTGCTTTCCAAAAGTCACCACACTGCTGTAGGGTTTCATTGCCTTGATATAATCCTCAAACTTAACCATAAAATCATTGAGAATTCACTGGAAACTGTCTTAGCTAAATGTTTTGTTAAGTCTGAAGAAGAATCCAAAGAAAGTGATAAAGCAAAGATTGAATTGTTGTGCAATATAGTGGAAACATATAGCAAGCTGCAACAGTTGGAAAATCTTGTTACAAGTTTGCTGAAAGTTTTCAATGAGTTGCAAAATGAACTTGGCACCATTCCAAGTGATGTGTTGACCAAACTGTCCAGATCGTTTGAACATTGTCCTTTTAACCAAACCCGGAATATATTACAAGTTTTTCTTGATGAAATGAAAGAAAAAGTTCAGTCAATAGAGCAAGAAGATGGAAACACTGACTTGTCCACAGAAGGAATCAGTATTCTTTTTGTAAATTTTCTTCTCAACTCATCTTACAGTGCAGCAGACACACATGGTCTTGACCAAAAGAAAGCAACCAGCCTGGAGAAACTTGTTCAAAATATCAAAGATACTATAATCACACCAATTGTTAAAGCCTTTCCAAGATTGAAAAAAAATTCACAAAAAACAGTTGGTTTCGCTACCTTGTTTCTTATTCATGGGTTGAATAGTTTAGTCCTGTTTCTACACCAACACAATGTTATTCCTACATCAGATGATCATTATGTTAAACTGCTCTGGGATTCCAAAGAAGAAGCTTACATTCCAGATGAGACTTGGAGTGGTTTGCCTATCTTGAAGAAAAACCGACGCCTGAGGTTCTGCATGGATCTACTTGCTGTCCACAGAGTACGATGTTTGCTCCTAAAACAAGACTTTGATCAGAACGAATTTGATCACTTGATCAACTGTCTCTACAGCTTCCAAGATCCTCAAACAATACCAGAACTTTCCTTTGTTTCTTGGAACTTTAATCCAAGTTGTGTAAACAATGTGAACTATCCTGTTGCTCACTGGAGTCTAGTATCCCAGTACGCAGCTTTGCTGATCCCATATTGCAGTGAAAATCAGCTACAAAAGTTTGCTGAGTTCATGGTTGGTACGCTTGTCCTTCAAGACGACCAGATTACAACAGACAATTTGGTAACCCTACATCAAGTCTCAGAAAACATTCTGAAGGATGGTGAACTGCTTTCTTTGTCATCATTACAAGCAGCTGTTGTTAAACAGTTTTGGAAATTGCTGGGTGAATGCGTGGGCCAACTGGATGATGATAGGTTGACAGGCGTTTTTACTTGGGAGGTCAAGACGGGACAAGGTCAAGACGGGACACATGAACCTGATGAAGCTAATTTACAGTCTGGGAAGATAGACACGAATATAGCCATTTCACTGGCACAAGCGATTGCCAAGGTTATGAATGAGCCTCAAAAGAGAGCAAGAAAACAGTCGAAGAGGAAACGCATTGGGGATCTGAGCACGGTGGTCCATCTTGTGAAAGTGTTGCAACGTTTACCATGTTATAAATTTACACCAAGTAATAAAGTTCGTTGTATTCTTGGTTCTCTGGCCTGCGATGTTCTGATAGGGAAAGCTGGTCTGGATGAAAAGACTGGTCCTGCTCAACGCTTGGCTGCACAGTTATCTTGCCGGGAAATTGTTTCAACCCTAATCCAAAGTTTGCTTCAACAACGGGAATTCTCAGCATGGCAAGTGATTGATATGGCATCCCTACTGCATTGGCTTTATCACACAATTCCCAAACGGAATTCTGCCAAAACTTCACCAAGCAACCTCCAAAGCAAATTCATGAATACTTCTAAGGAATTGCTCAGGCTTGCAGTGATCCTCGGTATGAAATCGCACAGCAAGGCAAGCCTAGCAGCTGTTGTTGATTTCAGTGAGGAACTAGTTACTTCACTGACAAATTCAGCCAAGAACACAAACCCAGAAATTGTGCGATGTGTTGAAGTACTTGTTATCATAGTCTCCGCTTGCATAGAATTTTTGGATCAGAAAGGAAAAAAGACCTCTTCACTGAGGGCAGGATGGTCTATAATTTCCAAAACTGCAGTTAGTCTGACAAGTTTTACCAAAGACACTCTAGAAGAGAATGCTGTCTCTCACCAACAAGAGGAAAGCTATGTCGAGCTGGAAAATAATGTTATGAGACTTAGTGCAATCCTAACACGTGCGATGGGACTGATCCCTGAGTCAGAGTTATCGAAGAATGAGGAGTTAAAAAATGCCTTTGCAGAATGGAATGA